CCCCAAAACCCCAAAACCCCGCGATTCAGCGATAATTGTAGAATTTAAAACAATAATATATAAATTACAAAATAGGAAAACATGCAGGGAAACTAAAATTTAACGCCTAGCTAACTTCACTTACTACAATCTCAAGCACATATCCCACAAGTGATTAAGCAAGAGGTTTCATTCCTTAATAAGTCAGACTAAGAAAATAGTCAATAGCTATTAGATGAGGGAGATGAGCACATGTATGACGACGAGGAAGACTTAGAAGAAGAAGAGGAGGAAGACTATCACTAATTAGAGGGAGACTCTATTCATGATAACCACAATATCATCAGTCACGAATCAAATATTCAAAGCCTTCCCTTTAGACACCCCCAGCAATATAAGGAAAATAGTGATTCTCCGTAGTAAAACATAAATAACAACACTGGTTCACATAACTAAAGTCCCTAAGTGCCTATATTCAGTGGTCATCATGCTTAGAGCACCTAAAACTAATCACAGTAATTGGACCTTGAAGAAATTATGCTTAAGCTAAGGCAAATCACGCAGAGCCTCAAACCCCCTAAGCTGCAAAATGTGACTATGCAGGGCAACGCAGAGCAGGAGTAGCTTGATTAATTCTGGGAATGGCTGCAGAACACACTATCACTAGATAGATTTAAGATGATGGCAGAGAACATAGAAAAGCTGGGAGAAGGTCAGCAAATGCAAAAGGCAAGGGATATAGAGTTGCTGGCTTTGAAACTTGATATTGAATAAGCACATGAGATTAACAGGGGCAAAGAGTACAATATCATCAAAAAGCAATGAATTCAGTTGAGAATGAATTGAAATATGAATGCCAGATAGTAGAGCATTATTGGTAGAGTTTCGGTAAATGTATAGCTTACTTATATAACATGGTTAATTAAGGATTAATTAAAAATCAATCAAGTAAATGTTTATAAAAGATAATTGAAGATTGGCGTTTATTGATAGTTTCATGTGGCGTCTGTCTTCATAATTGTGCAGATCATTTATTGCTCAATAGACGTTGGCAAGTCTTAAAGATGAAAGAATGGCGAGTACACATAATGCAAGTGAGGCTAAAAGTGATATCAAGAAACCGATAACTCTTCCTTGAGGACCCTTAGCAGCGTATCCAAATGCGTACATAAGTCTTCCTAGGAGGAAAGCACTTCCAAATCCAACTGCATACCATTCGTATTTTACGCCAGCAATCAATAGCCATGTGATCACAACAGTAGCGCACTCAAGATAGTTGTAATGAGCTCTTTGGGCATTATTGAAGTTGTACCAGTCCTTATATGATAGCTTTTAAGAATATCTACCATTGCCCATATCTGGGTAGCCTTCTTTGTTAATTTGAGTGCCTGGGAAAAACTTCTCATGTTCGTCTTATACCTAGCTAATTATTTCTGGGGTAAATGTTGCCTTTCTTTTGCCTCCAGCCACAAATCCAGTAATAGTCAAATGGAATCCGATAAGTGAGGCCACTAGAGCGACCCATCTATATTCATCACTAACAATGTTGTTCATTTTTAAAATTATAATTATATTCTTTAACATAAATGACGTATATTTTTATATTCAAATTAGCTCTATCGCACTTCTCAAATTAATCCCTCATGCGGGGTTTTGGGGTTTTGGGGTTTTGGGG